TACTGAAGAAGATGTGCTTCTACTTCCTGTGTTCCGAGTTTATATGTCCTTACATCCTCCTAGCCATATTGTAACAGCTTTTACAATTGGACCTCTTAATCTAAACTAGCAAGGGATTGCATGGTGCTGAAGACTCGATACAGGATGTGGGAGTCATCCCCTTATGTCAAATGTTCTGATTTTCGCCCTCGGTTAAGTTATTCATCTCGCCGACATCCTTTGTCAGCTCTCCCGTGTAGGAAGTCTATGCGGTCTGACTTCCTAAGGTTACTCGCTCTGGGTTTTCTGGGACCACATCCTATATCCTGTAACTAGGTCTTTATTTCTACGTGAGTAACAAAATGATGAAATTAATAATGCATAGGCATACATATGCCTGCAACTCTTATCATTCCAATAAATCAGTAACATATAAATCGGTTAATACACATACATATAGATAGGGTGAGGTCACGAGGTCACCTCATAACACACTAACAGAACATAGAGATTGGATGGGAATGTTGAACAGCTAAGGTAGAAGCATGGACGCGTTAATTTCTTTGTTTGGAGACCCGTCACTTTCATCACCTGAGCATCTTTCAGAAAAGCATACTGCATTCACGGGTATTCCTGCCACACTTCCTCAGCAGCAACAGCGGACACGACTAAAAATGGCGGACCATATGTTAACAACAAGGTGGTCCACAGCTAACGAAACTAATTTGTGTTCAGGAGGTAAAAGGTTCGATTCTCCTACAGGACACTCAGAAGTCTGACTGAGATTTCTCTTTACTTTTCTTAACCCCCTCCCCAAGCGTACAGTGGAACTATCACTTAGTACAGTGGTTGTCAACGTTTACGAGACCGCGGCCCAGTAAGTGCTTTCTTTGTAAGACGACGGCCCAGTTCCAACAAATTTACTCGTAAATACCTTTCCAGTTTTGTTAAAGTTCATGCATTAAGCTAACTATAAAATATTTATTCATGAACAATGCTTAGAAAATGAAAAGGACAAATTCCAGAAGAGCCTCTCGCGGCCCAGTATAATTGATGCCAGGGCCCACTACTGGGCCGCTGCCCGGCGGTTGAGAAGCACTGTTCTAGATAATAGGCTCACAGATGGCGGTGAGGTTGTCAGCCTTACGCGACGGCAGNATAATCTTCATTTCTGAATTAAGGACTGCAGGCGATAAAGCTTGGATTCATTTCTAAAATAAATATCTCACACAGTTCTCCGGTTATGCAAAGGTGAGGGAGACTCTGAGGAAAATTATGACACATGAAACACGTACAGGTTTCGTGGACATGAAGCGTCACTCACAGAAGATCCGATATTGGATAGGCTTGGATGCCCAACTACACGATCGGGCCGCTTTCCCCCAGAAAAACGGGGAAATATGTACTGTGGACAGGCTCCAGAACTCCTTTCGTCACAGTGGAGAAAGAAAAAATCATAATCCTTGCACCGAATCGAACTACGATCTTCCAGCCCATAGCTAGCCACTTAAACTCCTGAAGTTACCGAATCACTTTTCAAATTGAAAAAATGGTGCAAATCCTAAAGCTCAGAGTCATGACATTAGACCTAACAATTTTCGACTTATTTCCACATTTTCTCAGGCGTCAGCTGGAAGCATTGGAGGAGGTCAGGGCCCGCATGGGGTCTCTGGAAGCCAGAGTATCGCCTCTAGTCAGAGCCAGTCTGCGACTTTCGGTTTCGGCCCGTTTACTGCCAGCTTCTCACAAAGCCAGGCCAACGCCGGAGCTGGAGCAGGTGGCAGAGCTGACTATGGCCCCGGTGATTACTTCTAAAACGACAGTAAGTATCCTGCTACATGAAGTTATGCAATCCAGAAGTGCCCTGCAGACTCACCTCGATGCTAAACTAGAAAATAATAAAATATCTTGAACTTATTTATTAAAATGTTTCACTTTACACTTTACTTTAGGCGTAGGAGGGATAAAAAACGCGTATTTTAGAGTACTGCTACTAAACCAGAAGGAAATAGGAGAGTGGGAAGACCAAGGTTAAGATGGGAAGAATGTGTGTGGCAGGACATAAGAATTTTGGGTGTAAAGAACTGGAGGAATGTAGCATCGAATGGAGAAGAATGGCGAGCAATCCTGAGGAAGGCCAGGGCTCACATGGCAAGGGGAACCGAGTGATGATGATTTTAGAGTATTGCACCTCAGTTCTAACTACACCTGCACGTGGTGCGCCCCGTTTATGGGAAGATTTGCTGACTGACAAATACCAGTATAACTTAAAGGAATTGTCATTAGGCCCTAGCTAATTTAAGGAAACGAATTCACGGCGGTATAACCATTGCATCGGTGGTGGAGGAAGCAGGATCAACTTGTTCCTGTGCTAAACTACGTACGCGCAATGCCATGAAGACACATGGGAAGTGGAGGTACAGCTCACGAGTCTTGACCTTGACACAACGTGGACGTGAGTGGCAAGTCTTACGCCCCGGCTGCTTTACACAACGGGGAACCCCGACCGTTCGTATTCTATAGGAGTGGGGCCCAGAATTGGTTTGGGCGCTGTGGAGTAGAGAAAAGCATCTTGGCTCTCCCGAGACTCGAACCTCGGCCGTCCTGCCCGAAGGCCAGGTATCCTGGCTCCTGGTTGAGGAATTGCCAATCCTAATTCCAGAAGAGCTATTCATGAAGGTATGACCATTGTACCTGCAGTGGGGGAAACGCCAGTACTTACTTCCAGACGACCGAGTTGTGGTGAAGTTCCAAAGTCAAAGTTATGTTAGGACTGACGGTCAGACGGCCAGTCTGCCTTAGTGTCAAACAACTATCTTGGGCTTGCGACCAGATTTTTATTACTGTCAGAGAGTTGTGACAAGAGGACTGGTCTGCCGTTTACAATTGCTGCTGGTCCTCGCCAGTGCAGTCATTCTCAGGCCCGAATCCCACGGGACAAATGACCATATTTTATTGTCCGAGATTCGAGACTCTCCCAATCTGGAGGGCGAGGTCCCCGTATTTGTATCCCACAGGAAGAGGGTGGCCCAGTTATACCCCCAGGCACTGGGCTCCCATTTAAAAAAACATCAGCATAATTTACTATGGTTTCCATCCTTACGTTTCATTTCATATTATATTATTTTATTTTTCACGTTCTCATATACGCAGTATATGACAAGTATTTTCATACTGGGAAAAAACCAACCTGAAGATTTCGATGAATTTACACATATCCCCCCCCCCATTCCCAATACGAAAAAGTGGTTTTCCTATGCCGTCGACCTGTCTATGTATGTGAGCCTCACTAGCGCCTGAAGTGTGGACGGATTTTATTCATAATCGACGTTAGGCCGCGCCATAGCTCAAGCGGTAAGTAGCTGGCTTCCCACCGCGGCGGCCCGAGTTCGATCCCGGGGTCAAGTCATGTGGGATTTGTGGTGGACAAAGTGGCACTGTGGCAGGTTTTCTCCGAGTACTTCGATTTCCCCGTGCCAATCTTCATTCCACCAATTGCTCCACAATCACCCTCACCTATCATCTGGGGCTGGTACAATAGGCCAGAAGTGGCCGCAGTACAAGGGACTCAGTCCCACCCCACTAGCAATAAAAAATAATCGACGTTATATAGGCTTCTATTATTATTCTTAGTGGGGTGAGGCTGAGTCCTCTTGGTACTGCGGCTACTATTGGCCTATTGTACCAGCCCCAGATGATAGGTGAGGGTGATTGTGAAGCAATTGGTGAATAAAGATTGGCAGGGAAACCGAAATACTCGGAGAAAACCTGCCACAGTGCCACTTTGTCCACCACAAATTCACATGACTTGCCCCGGGCTCGAAGCCGGGAACCACGGCGGGAAGCCAGCGACTAACCGCCTGAGCTACGACACGGGCTACGTTAAACAGTTACTCCAGCGTAGGTCCGCATCCAGTGATTCTGAATTTTTCAGCTACAAAGTGCTAGGGTCCCTTCAAGCCCACATAAAGGAAATTTTCTCGAAAACGGCTAGAACGATTCTGATTAAATTTCACTAATTTATGGAGATCATCTCCTTAAATGAAGCTGCATAAGCGATAACTTCAGCAAAATAACGGTACTCACAATATGGGTCCCAAACTTGAAATGTCAATTTTGTTGAAAGCTGCTATACCGATCGAACGGACTCCATTGTTGTTCGGTATTCAGAAACAAATGAACTTCTACAAAACAACAATTGTTGTCGTTTCCAATGTAACGCAGTCAATGCCAATCGTATATGAGGATGTACGTGCAATATCTTCACGTTTATTTTTATTCTTGCAGCGACTGAATTTGACCGATATTTTCATATGCCTTTAGAACCTTGGGCACGCTACTCGTTGCCTCTGATGTTCAAGAGGTCATGTTTTCTGATATGTGTGAGGGCTGTCCTTCAGTACTATCTTATACATAGTCCCCCCATTTTTCACCAGCATGGTGACCTTTCCTCCGGCATGTTTCTTCACTAGTGACACTACGGCTGACGCTGTTTTGACCAGAATAATTTCACAGCAAGTTATTGGCCAGGATATTTTTACAGCACCGCTTATTGCAACTAGTCGCTGCATTTCAAGCACAAACACTTCAACACACTTTAAACAACATATCTTAACGTGCTATTATTGCAACAAGGAAAGGCATCGTGTGCACCGCGTTAACAGAACTTCAACCACCGAGTCAACAGGGAAGCAAACACGCCATTGCCTGTCGTTGAAGTTTTGTTTACATGCATTCCAGAGATATCCCTAATGAAATTTACATTTAGGTAGTATCTTTAGCAAACATTAGAATGTTTCAATGATGCAATAACATAGTTTTCTCTTCTTCTTCGCAGACTTGAAGCAGTATTCAGGAACGTCGCACTAGAGGTTTGGCTAGCATTCCAAAGATTCCAAAAGCAAAGAAACGTAATGATGAATCCACAAAGTATTTTCTCATCAAACATTTCCTGATCATGTAATTTTAAAAATAAAAACACTTAATATCTAAAAATAGTTTTTTTTCCAGAATAAAATGAAGTTCATGACAGAATTTCACAAGACAGACTCCACATGTGAAATTTCTTAAATCAGTATTTACACTAATATAAGCAGGAGACGAGCCTACGAAATGAAAATTAAGAAGCAGATTGCGAACGACAAACACAGATGACGCCATAATAATTACGTCGGAGATGGTGACGAGCTTTATCTACTGGGTCCAACTGAGTAGGTTTTACCTGAGGACGGAGACAGAATCCAGTCTCCGAAACGTTGTGTTTTGAAAAATGAACAGGACGGTTTTTAAATATAGACAAAACGATGGATAATGTCCAAAAGCATGATACTTCAAACATAAATGACCACTAAAACGTGATCTGTAACAGAGAGTTCAACCGGAAAATTCGCTAAATCGACCCTGAAATACCGAGTTCCAGTCTCTCTCGGAATACGGGTATCGTAAATTGTGCTTTTCTTGGTTCTCCTGTCATTCAGGAAAGTGACAGCCTTAAACAGGTCATGACCGCTTCTATAGGAAATTTTTCTGGGTTATCGAAGTGGGCGTTGCCAGGGAAAGGGGTTCTGCTACTTTCATACCGTCCTGGACGTCCTGGACAATCTGCTGCGTGCTGGTATGGACGGGATACCGTCTGTGCAATACAGATAAATTACATGTTTCTATTTATTCACTTAAAAGCACATATACTCTGAACTGGCTATGAGACTGACAAGGGCCGTTCCAGCACGTGGTTGCGTTGTGGTCATGAGTTTGACTTACGGTCTGTGTAACTGGGCAGCCTGCGTTATCATGCTACATGTTACAACGCTACTCGTATTACCAGAAAAAGCAATATTCTCTATTTGACGTCGGACAGGCGAATGTTACCTCAGTTCCTTTACTAAGCTTTAGAGGTAATATACAGGCATCCTGGAACTGGCTCTAGATGCAGATGAGTGATCAGCGTCACGCTTCGGTCACCTTACCTCTGAAGAAATAACCCCATTATAAGCAACTGATTATGAGCTGGGTGGAACCCAGAACTGCTATAGCCCTACCAGAAACAAAGTCACACTTCATACTGCACCACATTTTCTTTCCAATTATATACCAAGATTTCGATGCGGGTGACATCATGTGAGTTTAACTCACAAGGGGCTGACAAATGTAGGCTTTTGAAGCCTACTTCATTTCTACTTCCAGGGAAAGAAATCCTCTTTTTGGATTTGGTGTCCATTAAATCCGAGACTTATAATCTACTAACTCGTGATAATATAAGTAAGTAAAAGTATCCCTGTAACAGGCCGTGGAGGCCCATAGGGTTGTGAGATGTTGAGGCTCCCACATTTTCTAGACAATCGGCTCGCAGATGGTGGTGAGGTTGTCAGCTTTACGCTCCGGCCGCCCTTTACCCCCAGGGATATTCCTGGTACTCATTTCTGTTAGAGGCTGAGTCGACCCCAGGGCCATAGTGCGGCTGGAAGGATTAGGTCAATTGAAAAATCCAACTCAGAAAACCAAATAAAAAGCCGAGAAAAAGACATGAAAGCTGGGTGTAAGTTTCTTAATCTTTTATCCTGCCAATGCTTCAGGGTGTGATAGACCTGCTCTTCCGCTATTTACAAATGAGAAATAAATCTTGCTTACTTTCTCTAAGAGATGAACCCAAGGCGAATGTAAGGGAAATCACGTGAATAGATTCATGCGGCAGACAATTTCATGCTTAAGATAGTGTTATGGAGATATTAAATAGGTCCATAAAGAAGAAGTATTCACATATCCCTGCAGGATATAAGTTTGTGAGGTCTCACTAAACAGCTTCCTGCAGAATATGAGTTCATAAGGACGCACTACACACATATCTGCAGAGTATTGTCTACAACCAGTAAGGTCGTGTATAACAGATTCGTATGCAGGATATTACATTATCAGAGAGAGCAGATTCTTGCAGAAGATGAGGCTATAAAAGGAGGTACTTTCCTGCAAGAAGCCAGGAAATAAAACGCAGAACACATTACTACAGAAGGCGAGACTTTAAAGGCCCGTCCACATTATTCGTGCTCGTCCTTGTGCACGTGTGACTCGCTATGCTCGCGAGTAATGTGGACGATATGACAAGTCACGAGACAAGCAAATTTAAATTTTTAATTTAAAAACTACAGCCAATAAATTAAAATACGACTACAGCCTATACACACTACAAGTAAATATACGGATCCTCACGCGCCGAAGCCTGGCGAGTAACTGGAGTAATGTGGACGAAGATTTACGGGCACAAGTAAAAGCCAGACGAGTCTCCCGACGAGCACAAGCACGAGTAATGTGAACGCGCCTTAAGACCATACTACACAGATTCTTTCACAAGATGTTAAAGTGTATAAAGGAGATTTTTACATAGGGCGAGATTTAGGGTGCAATGGACGGATAAGTAAATAATTTAGTTAGAGATTGCAAATTTAATTCATCCCTGCAGAAGATGAAGCTAAAAAAACGACTGTCATTCCTGCAGAAGATGAAGTTACAGAAATGTACTAAGAATATCCCTACAACCGTGGACATGATGACTTGTATTAAACACAAACGGTTCTACAGGTGTCAGGAAACAGACCTACACAGAACAATCATGCAGAAGATGTTCTTGCTGTCAGGAGTTTTGAGGGATACCAAATACTGAACAAGTGCTGGCATAGTAGCATGCTGTAGAACTTCCTAAATTGAAAAAATCAGAAAAATTCACTACAAATTCAAGAACGAAAATCTGTTTCTTCAGAAATAATTTCTCTCTGTTTGTCTTTGTAGAAGAAATAAACAGAGTTTCCCCTAACTGTGTGGTGCTATTAGTGTGAAAAATTCCTTAGTACAAACAAATTTAAAATTATGGTACAAATGTGGAACCAAAAATATTATGCTTTTAGGAACGAGCAGCAGAGCTGTGTGTGAGTGCAAATAAAGTAAAGTCAATAAACTGGAAGAATTTTACGAAAAACTCTCATATACAGTGTGGCATGTAGACCCGTTGCTATGCAACGACTGCGAAACAAACAATTATACAACAGCCATTGCTAAGTAACGGTTCCGCAAACAGACATGTTTCCAAGGCAACGAGACAATACTGAGTATACCGAACTGGAAAAGTTGAATCTCTCAAATCCGGCATTATGCAGTCAGACACGGGTTTAGTTAGCCAGAATTACCGCCAACAGCGCTAGGAGTCAATGGTTCGCCGTTGTATGTTTATATTTGTCAGTTTTGTCATACGTCGTCTCTTTATGTTTTTTTTTCTCCTTGGCACTACAGCCCCAGTGGGCCTAGACCTACCTCCATGAACTTCTCCGTTCACTTCTGTTTTTCTAGTTCTTACACATTCGGTAGGACTCCTTGGGCGAGTGATCAGCTAGTCGCAAGGCCTTTACCTGTACACAAACACAGCAAAACGCACGCACACAAACTAAACATCCATGTCCTGAGTGGGATTCGAACCCACGATCCCGGTTTCCAAGCGAGCGAAGACAGTATATGCCTTAGTAAGCTCGGCTACCGTGACTGGCCTCTTTATGTTTACCCTAGTAATTTCCTTGTATAAGTACCTTAACTTTGTGTTACCGACATATTAAGGGACGATGGCTTATTTACGTCTTGGTACCATATGGATCACCCGTGGCTCAGAAAACTGTAGCTGGTCCCATTCCGCCCTGATACAAAGGCGGCGGATTTGAAAGGTTCGACCTGTATGTGAATGCTTATTACACTGAATGCAGTGTCCTAGCTTCCGCATTCGCCCTGCCACCTAATTAAAATCCACTCGATTTTCAATATACAAGACACAGTACAATAAAAATAAAGCATCATTTGTGAAGAAAGCTCGCCCTTTTACTTTCACCTTCAAAGGAACAATTGCCTGTCATTTTTTGAAATATTAATTATTTCTGATAAAAATCTATAACGTCCGTTCGCAAATTATGAGGTGCTGTTCATAGTACCGCTCACAGTGGCCGCGCGGTCTAAAGCATGAACTGTCTTCGCTCGCCCGAACGCTGGGATCGTGGTTTCGAATCCAACTCAAGGCATGTATGTATGTGTGTGCTTTTATTCTGTGTTTATGTTGTTCTGTGTGTATGTAGCGGCCTTGCGAAGAGCTTATCACTCGTCCAAGGAGTCCTACCGACTGTGTAAGAAAGATTACGAAACTGAAAAGAGTCCAGGGCCCAACTAAGGGCTGTAGAGCCACTAATGAATGAATGCATTACATAGGCATGTCAGATTCATGTTTAAGTAGCGACTTTTAACGTAGACTTCCGTTGCTAAGTTTAATCGAAATCTAGACCTGTTAATAGTTTCGAAGACGAGATATGAGAACAAAGAGATCCTGTCCCCGCAGTATGCACTTTATTTAAGAGACACATAGACAGGTGCCATAAGGACAAGCCTGATATTGCAACAGAACGGTATGAAAGTCACTTGGGTTTAACGAACCCCCGGCCCGATAATATCTGAAGTGCCATGACTTGGCGAAAAGTCTGACCGCGAATCAAATTCTTTGTTTAGCTATTGTCATTAGTAGCCACAAGACCTCCGGCATCAACTTTCACGCTTTTTCGTGGGCGACGGGCGAAAAAGAAGACCCCCTGAAGAAGGGGAACGACTTTCATATGAACGGATACAATAAAATCACTGCAAACAAGGGTCTGTGGTTTCAATCGTTGATCAGAAGCGGCCCCTTAATGTAGGTATTCAGGGCAAAATTTTTTATTCGTTTCTTATCTCCCACCTTCGCGCTAAGTGTTCCGCCCATCACATCTTCCTTACTTCAACCGATCTTACAAACGATTTAAAATAAAATGTGCATGTTGTGTAACGCTGCATCGTGTAATTTTCTCTACGCTGCTGCTACCGCCTCTTTCGCGACTGACTAACCAGCTAACACCGGTTCTCACGGTCTCTCCGCTTGCAGATTTCTTATATTTTTTCTTCTACCCTGAAGAT